GTTATAAAGCATTACATTTCATGGATCTGAAAATCATACACATGCAACTAAAGTTTTGGATAGAATTCTGCCTTTACAATGTACATACATCAGATTGGTAGTAAGAAAGTTGGAAAGAAGGCCAAGACATTCTAAAAAATTGAATGTTGTTTTTCAACCAAAAATTTTCTCTTTCTTTAGCTGGTTATCAGCCTGGGAAAAGATATAATAAAATAATCTTTCTCAAGACAATCAAGCACAAAGGGAAACTGCAAAATCTTGTGGCAATTTTCAGCATCCTGGATTGTTGCTAAGAAATTTGGCCGCTGGCTAAGATTTTAAGTGAGGCAGCTCAAAGATGGTTTAACTTGACACCCAGCCTGAAAACATCATTTGATTCCCAAAAATACTACCTACCATTTCAACCACCGCCTTTTGCCATTAGTCAGCACTTAGCAACACCCCAGAGCATCTAAAAGTTAATTTTGAGGCAAGGAGTAGGAGGGACTTATCAGAGAAGGGGCTTAAATGGGAGACTTGCATTTATAGCACACAGATATGACTCTAGAGATCACTTTTAAAAAGTCAGCCACAGTATCAATAAATAAAAACTATTTGCCAAAGTGGAGGTGGCTAGTGGTGGATATTTACTGAGCCACAAGGTGGCAAAGTAAATATTCACTGCTAACTGCTGACACTGAGGTGAATAGTAGTTTTAATATATACTAAAATAGTGCAAAAATATAGCACAAAAACATTATTTTACCCTCTGTATTCCTACATCAATTACAATATTTTCCGGCAAATTCCTGCCTGAGTTGCTTGGAGGTGAACAGCAAAGGATTAATTCATAGTTTGACTAGCCAAACAGAATGCACTTTCAGTGCTATCCACTGGTTATAGTATATACTAATCCATATTGTTTTCATATACAAATTATGTATTTGAACTACTCTACAATTGGCAGAATCTGTCCTCATTTTTCCAGCCAATTTTGCCACCATTTCAAATTATCTCATCAGTGTGACAAAGTCAAAGGCATTGACAACATTAAATATAAAATGCAACACTTTGTCATATTTAAAAAAGGAATGGAAAAGGAAAAGCATATTCCTCTTGCTGCTTAACTCCTTAAGTATTTTTAATTCTCTTTATAGCTTCAAAATGTATTTGAGCATCCTAACAAGATCTTTCCTCAAAATCCGTCCGTCTACAGTAATATATTTTTAACTCACTGCTTGGTTTTCCCATGCGAGGGAGGAAAGACATAAAAGCGTTCTCAGCCAATAGATAATTTAAGTTTACAGGCGTGTACATAATACTCAAATCACAGCAGGTGTTATCTTCATTTTTGTGTTTCTGCCACTTTACATGGATCCGCTTCACAGTACTCGAACAATCATCCAGCTAAAGGGCTGTTAAAAATCTACAGATACATTGATGGACCACTGAACGGCCTGACACAAAATCAGCTTTCATTTCACTGTGATCTTTCCCTTCTCGAGTTGGAAAATAAATTATCAATAATTATCTGGTTCGTCGCCATCGATTGTTGCTATTCGTCAGTCACGGATATCAGTGCGGAGGATTTAGAAATCGGTTGTAAATATCGGGAAAAGAAAAATACTTCATCTCTCAACAAGATTCTCAAAAAAACATAAATAAAGAAACGGAAAAATAAAAAGAGGTTCTTGAGGTTTTCGAGGTTAAACGACCCATTGATGACGCAATGAAAGAAATAAGAAGTCGGAGTTTTTGGATCTGTATATAATACTAAGCTTGAAATGTTTCGACATCAAAAACATATTTTCAGGTTTGAAAATGAAAATCTGGGTGGCACTACCTGACCAAAAAGAACGGAGTAGCTTATCAGAAGTCAAGCCAAGATATGGTTGATTGAATTATTTTCTGTTAAAAAGCAGCTGTAAAAAGTTATTAAATAAATGTACAACCACGATCAAGAGTCGCACTCGACGGAAACCAAGGATAAAATGATTCAAATCTACCTGTATTCATCCAGTTCCATTAACGAGCCAGGGAAATTCATGAGTGCAGGAGAAATAGATCCTGGTCTTGACGAAACACTTTTCCTAACTGTAGGTGACATTTCAGGCGTTTGGATCGCCTTCGGCTCTGCCGCCATGTCTTGTTTTCTTTTGAACTTGCCTTAGTAACCGCGTTCAGCTCGTAATGTAGATCGAACAGGCTATACGCTATTTTTTTGGCGCGTCGTAACCGGGGAGGTGTAGGCATCAAAATTGCCTTGGTATGTCATAAAGGGGACTAGAGAGCTAAGGGCTTGGCAAATGTAAATATCTCATGAATTCTGTTGTTTCCAGTTGCTCTGATTTTCAAGATCCTGCTATTTCTTTCCCACGAATCGAACAATACGCAGAACGGATAACCTTTTCATTTCGAGTGCCATTATCAATGTTTTTTAGATAAGGTATGTGTAAAGATTTAATGACTCCAAAGATATTTTATTATAATTTTTGGCAAAATATATTGTAACTAACAATCAGTTGAATGACTACGTGAGTGATCTTCGCATATATGATTTTCATCGATATCCACAGTCATTTAAACAGATATATGGTTTTATTAAAAACTAGGTCATCGGATAATGCAATTATTTAAGAGTTTCCGTTAACCGCCGTCTGGTTAGCTCACGTGGACTATTGTGCGGGAGGTCTGGGTACAAGACCCAAACCGGACCCACACTCAGGGTCTTAAAATAACTGAGGAGAATGTGTTGCCTTTGTTATGATATCTGCAAGCGGTTAGACATTCTAGTCTTCTCGGATAAGGACAAAAAGCCGTAGGCCCCGTCTCCTGCATCTTCTCAGTACTGGTTAGAAGGGGACGTTAAGGAACCCACACACTTATCGCAAAGAGTAGGAGACGTAGTTCCCGGTGTTGTGGTCTGCCCTAAGTTCTGAAATCGGGGGCATCTGCTAAATTTCCTTCAAAAAAATTAGAAAATGCTCAATGCAGTCTGACCAAAGGTGCATTTGATCATATTCCGATGTTAGTTTGCGCCTAATAAATGATAAATTATTATTATTATTATTATTATTATTATTATTACTATGCTCTACAAGTATGGTAAGTGTACATTGTACGTAACATTCCGTTTGTTCTTATAGTTCTTATAATAATGTTGGGAAGATTTGTCTTTATTTTGGGGCATTTTTAATTAAATCATTATTCCACTCGCGCTTTTTGGATATATAAACAATAACCTCTATTTAGCGCGAAAATACGTGCGGATATTTGTCCGCGAACATTATCTGTTCCTAGATGCTCAAAGTTTTCCGACAGCTAAGCTCGCGAAAAACTGTAAGCTTCGAGGAATAGATAATGCTCAAAAACAAATATACGAGCATGTTTTCCAACAAAATATATAAAGACTATTGAATTAATTATCGTTCAAGTATTTTGCAACGCGCATGCAAGTATTTTGTAACCTGGGGGTTGGGGGGTGGGTCGAAGGGTTTTGAATGTGTCACATGATTAAGCCCCTTAGGGTCTGTGGTATTCCAATAAGCCCCCCCCCCTCCCCACTCGCCTCATTGGCATTCTACTTTCTGTAGTCCCAGTTTTTTTACTCTGTTACTGCAACGACGACTGATTTCCCTTCCCACTCTCCGTGAAAACCATGTGATTCCCCCATAATTCTCGACTCCCCCCCATCCCAGGTAAGGTGATAGATAATAGGGACCTTAAGCAGTCAGGACGGCAACGCCAAGGAAGACTTCGATTGAAAAATGAATTTCTGCCTTTAATTAGAATTTCAAAAATGGCTGCATTTGTTTACCGTCTCATGAGGCGCCACACCTCAACTTCAGCATAGCGTATAAAAGAAGCGTTGAGTTAAAATAATTTGCCGTCGCGGTTTCGGTTCGCAGGCGATGCAAATTGTGATGATTTCACGTTGTTGTTTTGCATAGGACGGCTAAGAAATGTATAAAGTTTTAAAACGCACGTGCCGAGCTATTGTTCTGCCAATTAGATCTTTTGTTTTTCCATGTCCTAGTTGCCGTCGCCGACGTGGTTTGCTCAAGGTCCCTAATGCCTGGTCACCTAGGTGATAAATAATGCCTGGTCTCTTAGGTGATTCACTTGAATTACCTGAAATTCTGTGAACTGCCCTCTGAGTCATTAGTAAGCGAAGATTTTCTTTCAATCGAGCAAGCAAGAAAGGTGAGCAAGCAAAAAAAAAAACGTGACGTAAGGAAATATGTAAATAGAAATTTGGTATTAAAACACCTGGATATGCTTGTTAGCTGCTTACAGAAGACTAATTGTATTTTAATCTTCAGAATATCGACAAAGTTGACATTTGTTTATATAGGTCAGCTGTTAAAATGCAACGTTTTTCCCTCCCCTGATACCATCGCGCACTTCAAGTTTAAGAGAGGGAATAGGATTTTCCTCGATCGCTTTAAAATAATTTCCGACATTATATATCTCCCTAATTCGATTTGAAAGAGGTGTAAACTTGTCCAGTTGGTGCGAGTGAGATTTTTTGTAATTGCTTCTGCTTATAAAAGCAAGGAATTTATGCTGCATGTATTCTATTGAGTATTTACATGCGATGCAAATGTTCGACATATATTTGAAGATATTTGGAAATTATGTTACTTTCTTAGCTAGCTTATTCAAACCCTGAGTACGAAAAATTCAAAGTCCAGAGCTAAATGTTACAACGAAAAAACAATATGTAAAAGAGACCTTTTGAGTGCATAATGAAAATTTAATTTAGAGAAAACATGATATTTGCATTTTAGGACTAATGACGGAATAATTTTCATGCCAATTTACCAGTGTCGACACAAGGCTAACAGGACTTAGCTTGGGTTTCAAAGGCGCAGTTTGCTGTTAGTTCGATAAGTCGATTATTTGGTTTAAATACAGCTCGTCAAATTGGTCAGAGACATTGATTGGAACAAAGAAATTTCATAAAGAGGGATTGACATTTATGGGCCTTTTGGTGAAAAGGCAGCCCCAGGAAAACGAAAATGTCCAACGCTTTTAATTTCGTATTCGTCAGTATCTGTTTACTTGAGGCAGTCGTAATCATTGTTGGAAACGCTCTCACCTTCTGTGTCTTCTGGTCTCAAAGACCACGTCTCAAGGGAACTTATTATATTTTAATGAACCTCGCTGTTTGTGACTTTCTGGTGGGATTAACAGAGACTGTTATTCTAGCATGCTCGGAAAAGTTTCGGGAAACTACTGCACCAAACCGTAGTGGAGGAGAAAACGTTTATGGTTTTTGGCAGGGATTCCAGACCTTTTCCTCTATCACGTCGGTGTTTTTTCTTGCACTAATTTCGCTGGAACGGGTTTACGCTGTGTTATATCCTCTGCGCCACCGCGTAGCAAACACAAGTGCTTATATTTACAGTATCATTGTTGTGTGGGCACTCGGAATTTGCTTGGCTGGGATAATTTTTTTGAAAATCTACTACGCAAAAGTAAACGAGATAGCTTTTGTTTTATCGACTCACTTGAGCCTATTTATTGCTCTGCTGATTACCTGTGCCAGTTACATCACGATACGCTATCGATTGCGCAGAACAGCATCATCATCTGAGTTAGTCGAGGGCCGTATCCACAACCAATTGAGTGTAGAACACAGCTTGCGTCTTTCCAGAACACTTCTCGTGGTAGTTGCTGTGTCGCTGATTCTTTGGCTACCGGCGTTTTTCGTGTATACCGCGAGAGTTTTTTGTCTGAGATGCATCCCTGAACCTGCAGTATGGGTCGTAAAAAGCTTGCATTTGGCGAACTCCATGGTGAATCCATTCGTTTACAGCTTTAAGATGACGGTTTTTAAAGATGCATTGAAAAAAATGTGGAGAAAACGAAGAGCAAACATTGAAATTGTAAGACCTGTTTCTGTAGAATTGCAGTGAGGGCAACTCTCCCGGTGTTTTCAAGAAAGTATCAAAATAAGATCTGTTTGATCAAGGTTTCTTAGACGTATTACGCAAGTTCCAGTATCAGCATTCTTCTTTCTTTCATGTTACTAGTCAAGTTCCTCTCGAATTCAATAGTGGATTTACTGGCGCGCATTTACTGAAATTTGCATTTACGGAAAGTAATCTTCCTTACGTATTTTGTTTTCCAATCAGTCTTCTAAAACCTAGTCCCGGTTTCTCTAAAACGAAGCTTTGTTTTCAACCGCATATAAGGACCTTGTTACCTTTTTTGTCTGATGTTCAAATTTTACTGTTTATTTTTCACGGTATTTAACGTATAACTTCAACACGGAATTAACCACGTAATCTCCCTCCTTTAGTTCTTAGCAGTTTTTTAATTTTTTATAACAATTCATCAAAGAAACCGGTCGTTATTTATCTTCAGGACCAGGAGGAGGGGGGGGGGGGGGAAATAGGGTCAGGGCAAAATCTGACTCTGTAATGTTCTAATAATTCCTCCCTCATTGGCAGTCAATTTCCTAAAATCCCTTATACTCTGTTGGCGACGACTGATCCCCTCTCTGTCCCCCCCTGAAAACCATGTGATTCTCACCTAAATCCTACGACTCCCACGAAGACTATTCCCTCACCTATCTCGTACCCAGATCCTATCGTGTAACTGAAATGTAGGATCTTACAACCGCTTGGCCGTGGAAGGTTTGGATACAAGACGAGTCCCTCCCTTTCTTGAGGCTGAATATGTTAACTAATCTAAACGTGTCCATTTTCCTTAGGGCATGTCCTTAAGGAGTCATCAGTTGAGGTGTGCTGTAAGCCTTTTTAAAACCTCTTGGGGTAGCTAGCATCTAATTCCTGCTCACGCTATTACTGGCGAATCAAACATTAAGGGCTTGAGAATACCGGAAATTATTACCAGCAGCTGAACGCTATTAGCTTGGTTCTTAAACAAATTCTCTAAGTCGTTATAAAGTAAATGTATAGAAGATGAAGAGTATTGAAAACATGCAGAGTAAATTTACAGTGTCATGGGTTAAGGAACTGTCAAAGGTGAAGTTAGAAGGTAAACCTAAGAAATTGTTTCTTTAAGTTAAGCACACGTATTGCGGAAGCGCCGTGTTCTTAATCTTGGATGTGGTTTCACTGGGATTGATTCAAAATGAAACAGCAATCAAAAATAAAAAAATAAAAAAGCAAAAAAAAAAAAAACAAGATGTGTGACGTCATGCATGCGTAATGAAGCCAGTGATTTTGAAAAACAAATCTTGAAGGAGTCTGTTGTTATTCCATCTTCGAATCCAGCGATACAAGTATCATATGAAATGGCAGCGATAACTACTGGGTGGGGGGGGAGGAGGTTAAGTAGTCTCTTGCCCAGACCTTCCACGGCCCTACAGTTAAAGTGACACGGCAGGATCTGGGTACGAGATTAAGGTTTTAAGAGAACCTCATGAGCTTCCCTTTAGTTATACTTAACCCACCTGAACTCAGCCCCCGCAAGTGGAAGGCGTCTGGAGGATTGACCTTATTTCCGTACCACAAGGGGGAAGAAAACTCCATAAATGATTTTTGTTGTCTCAGCATTTCGAAAATTTCCAAAGGAAAAAAAAAACTCGGCTACTTTTAACGTATTATAAAAGCTAATCAGGTTAAATATAAATCAGCTTCCGTGTACGGTTAGGCTAAGCCTATGTAAACAGGAAGCAAAACAAAAAGAATAGAAAAATAACATCTGTGCACCTGCCTCTGCGTCCGTTTTTGATCTTTAAATTGATTGCCTTTTGGCATTCAATTTGAGAAAGCTGGCATGTGTTTGATTAACAACGACTTTTGTTTTAAAACGTTTGTTCTCCGTTGTTGGAGAAGTAATGAGTTTACTAATTGCACTTGGGTGTATTTTTTTCGATGATGAGATGATATATAATGGATTATTCTGTGACCAACTTTCACTTTGAACGTTTCATTATTTTGCTAATAAGTAATTCTAATATTTTAATCTCCAGGAATGTATTTCCACTCTTTCCACGTACACATCTAGTTTACGCGATGTAAAATCTTTCTTGTTGAACCATAATTCGTCGCTTGAGTTTAAACCGAGTGTTTGTTTAGTTTTGTTATGCTCCTGTCAACAGAAGTTTCATTGTTTGTGATAGGCGTGGTTCGCCAACCTGTAATGGAGACTTTGAAGACTTAGGGAACCTTTAGATAAATAATGATTTCCTTATTCTGTTCATAATTGTTTACACAAAATTTCTTGTAAAAATAAGGGACGAAAGTGTTTCTACTGAAAATTTATCGGCCTCTGGGGAAGAAACAGCCACAGAAAGACAAAATGTCTAAGGAAGTCGCTTTGATATTCATTGCTATCTACGTAGTTGAAGCGGCAATCATCGTCATTGGAAACACTTTTACTATTTTTGTCTTTTGGACTCAACGATTCCGTCTTAAACGAACTTGTTACCTTTTGATTAACCTTGCAGTTTGTGACTTACTCGTGGGAATAACAGAGCCGATCATTCTCGGTGTCTCAAAGTTCCAAGGAATGACTGCAGCTGGACGAAGAAAAAAAGGGAATATGAAGAATTTGTTAAGCCTTTTGTTTACGTCTACCCAAGTCCTCGCCTTTGCCACGTCGGTGTTTTTCCTAGCCCTTATCTCGCTTGAACGTGTTTATGCAGTCTTGTGGCCTCTTCGTCATCGCGTAGCAAAGACATCTCTTTACATCTCCAGCATTATTTTAGTTTGGGCTGGTGGACTTTGTTTGGGTGGAATGTCTTTGATGGAGTTGTACTACCCAGCTGTAAAGAGAAGAAATGTCGTTGTCGCCACTAGCATATCTCTTTTCATTTCTCTGGTGATTATTTGTGCCAGCTACTTCACTATCCGAACTCGATTGCGAAGTAGGAAACCAGCATCTGGATTAATGGTCCATCGCAACCAACAGTTCGTAGAAAAGAGCTTGCGACACTCAAGGACATTTTTTGTAGTAGCTACTGTGTCGCTGGTTTTTTGGCTACCAGCATTTGCTGTGAACATTACAAAAGAGTTCTGCTTATGCTTTCCTGCACCAGTGATTTGGTTTGCAAGCGCTCTGCGTTTGGCAAACTCTATGGCAAATCCGTTTGTGTACAGCCTTAGGATGCCTCTTTTTAAGGATGCATTAACAAAGCTCTCGAGAAGGCGTGAAAGAAACTTTGAACTAAGATCTGTCCGCAAAAGTATCGCTGCAAACGTGAATCAAGGGCCATCTGAAATGTTGTAGTATAATAAGGGTGTAGGAAATTTTTTTGGAAACTTTTTTTGAAGCCCGTAATTTTATTTCGTGTCAGAGGCCCGTTTCTCGAAGGTCCCATTGACTTCGCAGGCCCGTAGAGCTGTTCTGTTTTCATTCAGGATGGGTCTTCAAAAGTTTTAAAAATCATTCGATGAAACTGTTAACTAAACGAAAAGAATGGAATGGTTAAAGTGCCAGAACCTTCTTACCTATTCTTTAAATTTGAATCTCAAAATATGTTTTCTAGGGCCCGTTTCTCGAGAGTCTCGGCAATTTAACCGGCCTGCAAAGTTGTTCTGTTTACATCCAAGATAGGGGTTACCAAAGTTTTGAAAATCATACAATTAATTAAACAATCAGCCAATGAAACAAAATTGATTGGCTAAGGTGTCAGAGCCAACTTCACTATTCATTAAATTTTTACTTTAAGTTACCGGGACTTTCGAGAAACGGGCCCATGAATTAACTCTTGATAAACTACAGAATTATTCGCGGCTTACCATCAAAATTGGAAAGAGACCCAATTCAAAAAGATATTGATCGCGGTTACATCCACAAATATTTTTTAATAGATAAATCGATCGTTAACTATTGTGCTTCATTTCTTTAGCTCACCTAACAGTCATTTCAAATTGCATATTAATGTTTTCCCAATTTCGCGAACACTTTGAAGAGCAAACGCTAAGCTCGAGAGACTGGTAATGAGTAAAAACGACAGTCCATAGTACCTCCCTCGTTTTCGCACCTAAATGAGGAGCGTTAATCTCCAATGGAAAATCTACATAAAAGAACTGTTACGATGTTGGGCAAAGGTGTAATGAGAGCGAGAATCCGCAAATTTCTTTCTTTCAAGTTTGTACAAAATTTCGTAGAAGTTTCCTTAAAACAACCTAACATCTTTCGCGGTGTTTTCAACAACATTTTCCTCGGAAAGAGAGAAAAAAATCATCTGCCAATTATGTAATTTCGCTTTTGGTAAGGAAGAAAGGGGACTTTGTGGCGTTGGCATTGAAAAGACTCGTGGGAAAGTTCTTGCGTAGACGTCCGAAATTATTTTGACACACTAACAAACTTTCAAGTAAAGATAACAAAACCCTTATGATATCCTAAGCTTTCTTTTTAAGTTTTCTGGTATGGTCTGCATAGACAAGATCAAATTTTCACAAAAAACTTGATTGATTCATTAAAATTTCTCGCGTTTTTAGACAAAAAGAAAGGAAGGAATGTAAAAAAGCAACGCGAAATAAAATTTTGAAATCTAGTCACTCGAAATCCTGATTTTTTTTCAAAATTTGGATGATTTCCTCATTTTATTTTGCAGCTTAAAAATCAGAGAAATTCGTTTTTTAATGTGTTTACTCTTTAATTCTTTGTATATAATCACCTCTGTAATTATAATTTTTCCGCAGTACGAATCAAAATTCATTGTTATGCAGGAAAGATCACGAAACGAAGGCTTCATTTCCATATTTTTCGGCTCTTAATTTTTTCTTCAATTTTCCATGTTTTCATCATTTTCATGTTATCTGGACGAGAGAGAAAGGGAGAAGACAAAATTACATTTGTGACCATCAATCATTTAGTGATGTAACATCCTATGTGCACTATTCAAAGTACAACGATGAAATCTCTATTTCCCCCTTAGAAGTTCCATCTTTAGCATGTTCTGGCGGCTTTTGCGTGCAATAAACCGTGAATTTTGCCATGTACACTATAATTAAGGAAACGACTGGTAAACAAAATAGAACATGTTTCTATCAAGGGTTTAGTTAATAACTTTTGAAGCTCTCTCCACTTTCGGTCGTTTTGATTTCGTTCGTTTTAATTTTGGTCGTTTTGATTTCGGTGTACCCTTTCACCAAGCCATTAACGAGACAGGCCAAGTAAAATTACCGACTTTGAGAAGCAAAATTACCACAAGGGATTACATTTTAATGTTTTGCTTTCCTGGTAATATCCCTTTAAACAAGCCTGAGATTAGCCGTATTTTGAGTTGAAGCGCAAAATCGCAAACACATAAAGAAAAAAATTGATAGTATGGTATGTTGAGTAATATTTCATGGTAAATAAAGGTAAGGATTGACTAGTTTCGTACGCAGCTTAAATTTATAGTAGTTACCACCGACAAAGTGGATAGCAAAAGAGAAGGATTAGGGATTCATTAAATGTCGGTTTAGAATAAATTGATTTCGTGGTCATTTCGGTTCACTTATCGTTTGTAGGCTTTATTTCAGCTCTTTCGCACGCAGCAATAAAGACAGCGCAAGCCGAAATTAATTGAACTTTACTTGGGATTAAATAGAACTATTTATGGCGGTTTCATTAGTCGCAAAATACATTTATAAAAGCGGTTACGCATGGAAAGATTCGCTCAATAATTTTGTCGATGAGAAGATATTTCGTACAATATACTTTACCTGTTAAGCTCTTATCCGCTATTTTCGAAGTCATGTACAAACCTTAGTTCCTAAAGGTCTTTGACTCTGAGATTGACTCAATCCGTATGGTAAGAAAAATCCGTATATCTTATACAAATGGTTGTTACTTAGCTGTTACTTTTTTTAAAAGCATGAAGGGACTGCTAATAGTAAAAAAAAATGATGATCCAACTGCTCCGACAGGTACTTGAAAAAGATGATATTTAAGGAAAAGAAACATTCTCTCCTTATGCACGTAAAAAATTTAGGCAGCCCAAGGTCATCGCAAAGTTGTAACAAATTTCGTCCGGAGAATATAACACGATCAGATCCAGAGGCTTTCCCGATTACAAGATCTGAGAAAATCTGCAGGTAAATATCAACGATCGAAACTAAAAGCTCTAATTTTCGAACCCACTGTGGAATACAAGAATATCGTAAGATTTTCCCCATGAAACACATTTACATTTATACAGTATTTGGTTGATTTCGTACGCTTCCCAATGAGACTATTATTTAATTTTTGTGATGGAACAACTAGAGGCTAACTCGATAACTTTAGAATTTCTCAGTGTGTTATAAGGATTTTCTTAAATTATTTATACGATAGTGAATAAAGTATATACGAAAAAAACTGTTAATTCAGTTTTAACACGAAATAACGGATCTAACATTAAAATGAAAAAGTATTTTAACTTGATGAGCTCATAATTTCATTTTACATTAAGGTTCAGGTGGTTTTGACCTGAAAACATGTTTCTTCATTTCCTTTTTACAGCTACAGGTTACAAAGTCAATCCTAGCTGGATTTCACTCTCAAGGGAGGGATCATATAACTGCCGTTGAATTACAGAGGTATAGTAAGGCATTTAGCCAGAAAAACTTGAGGAAGACCACAGCTGTCTATTAGTTTAATTAGTAGTAAAAAGACGAAAGAGGGAATCGAATTGAGGAAAGATGGTCAAGGGTTGAGAGGATTATGATAGAAAGCAACTGACTTTAAATCTTTCTTTAAGATGCAAAACCGTAGTTTCATCAGCATTTGTGATTTGTTCTCGATCATTACAATTACCATGAAAATGTATTCTTTTTAAAGGAGTTGTGTTGATGTTTTCAGGTGTGCAGTTATGGCCAATAACTTGACCCAGCTTCCATATCAAGCATGTCTTGTCCAGAATATTCCACAGGAAACCCAGCATCAACTGCGAGACTTCACCAACTACGGTGTACGACCAATGGGCATGCTCTTGGCCGTAATTGGGTTTTTTTGTAACGCGCTTGTGGTGTTCACCGTAACGCGAAATAGATCGTTGCAAAGTCCTTCATTTTTGATGCTGTGTAGTTTATCAGTAACTGACTTGTTGTATACCTCATACTCTATCTTTAGAGATGTATCGGCGATAGCCGACAAATACATGTGCCCACCTTCGGGTGGTTCTGGTGTATCCTCGCGCTTATCTCACGCGACATCTATTCTGTGTTTGTATGCCACGCTTGCAAACTTGGCATTGATAAGTAGAGATCGATACCTAGCAGTCAGAAAACCCTGGTGGTATCGCAGTAACGTGACTAGATACCGTGCTATTGTCAAGATTCTCGTAATATGGGTGATATGCATTTTGGCGGTACTTCTGGCAGAGTTAGATATGATTCCTTACGGAAATGTTTCTGCTCTTTTATTTTATCTTATTTGCTTCCTTGTTATCATTATCTCTTACATAGGCATATTCTCAAAGAAAATGAATCCCACAGAAACTCAATTGCGCCCTTCATTGGAAAGGGAGAGGAGAATCGCAATCACTGTGGGGATAATCCTCGTGGTATTGTTCCTGACGTTTCTCCCAGCTCTTATGTCTCCGCTTATTTTGCACTTGTTAGGCATAATGAGTTTAAGCGCTTACAGGCCTTTTTACACATTCTTCCTCCAGCTTAATGCATTCTTAAATCCTTTGCTGAACTTTGGTAGGAGTAAAGACATGCGCACAGGGCTAAGAAAACTAATTAAACTTTCTCGCCAAATTCAGCCCCAGGCCGGCTCTTTCAACCGAGGCCAGAATCCACATACTTCTGATTCTGCTACCATGGGAACGGAGAGAGCATCTTAAGGAATTGAGAAAGTGATCCTTTCTATAAACTGGAACTTGTTAATATTAATGCTATGAGGTAAATGACTGTACACCGAATTAATTATAACTTGAAATAGCGAGGGAGAGCAAGAGTTACAGTTCTTTAAGAAACCAAGTGGGTTTCGTTAGGTTTCCTTAAAAATGCAAGGAGTGAGGTAAATTTGGAATGAAATAATGTTTAATTTCAGGTTGTTTTAGGATATGTGAAGCTTTCCTATAGGTAGAGCAAGAAGTGTTCTTCCCATTACTGATGAACTACCGAGAGATCAATTGTACATGGTTATGGAAAAAAAATCAGATAGATACTACAAATTTGCATAAACCGAATCCGTGCGCAGGAAAAAATGTGCATGAATCATTCCAGAGAGAGAGAGAGAGAGAATGGTTATTTTGAGGTTGTTTTGTATAAGAATTAAGGCTACCCGGGGTTTCAACCGAAAGGTACTTTGAACCATCAAGAATGGAAATTTGATATTGTTGGGTATAGATGAACAAAAGGAAAACAAGGAAATCAGTTGTGACATAATTTAACGAGTGCAGCATAATCTGATTAAACGTAAAATGGAATTCTAGAGACCTCTTAATAAAGAAATTGCATATATGTAGCGACATGTTATGATAAATGTATGTGAGTCGATTGAAAGTGAATCTATGTCCTGGAGATTGACAAATAACTACGAATGCTGAGAGCAACTGGCAAAAAATTGAGTTACGAGATACGTGTATATAATTTCTCTAGATAGTAAAGCTAACTACATGTCAAGTCTCCTTATTTGTCAATTTTAGAAGCAGTTGTTACAACGTTGTTGCTATCGTTGCTTTTATTGTTCCGGTCCAAAATGCATGGCATATCACGTGCCTTTAAAATTATCACGTAGTTTGAATGTTGCTAAGCAACCTGGCTGCTCACTTGTGACGCAACAGATATAAGTTCACAGTATGGCTGCACTGTCGGTTATACTAGAAAGGCATTAATTTGAACTGAAACTCGGGCTAAACTTGATACAAGGAGACCGATAACCTTTTCAGCAGCTGGTGTTTGAACGACACTTTTGTTCCCAGCATTAGGGTTAAATTTCTGGGACGTCATGAACGGCTTAGTCACCGAACGTTTTTTTTTTAAATGTTGGCGTCGAACAAAGAGTGCTACACTGAAACTCGGGCTAAACTTGATATAAGGAGACCAACAACCTTTCCCACAGCTGGTGTTTGAACGGCACCTCCGTTCCCAGCATAAGGGTTAAATTTCTGGGACGTCATGAACGGCTTACTCACCGAGATTTTTGTCGCGGAATCAAGAGGACTGTATACTTCTTTGTTTTCTAAACGCGTTTATTTTCTTCCATCACTCCTGACAATCTGAACATACTAACGCTCTAACGGATCTAATACCAATCTGTCCTTACAATTCAGTGCTACTTCGTTTTACAGTTCTAGTTGCGAAATAAAGTAATTTTCCCATAATCACGAGTTCAGTAAATTCCCAATCCCAAAGTACTGTAATATACCCTATTTTAGTTGCAATTTCACAATTACACGTTTCTTTCCCTTATTTAGTTCACTGTACGCATGCAAATCAGTGTTGAACTTTGTTTACAACGTTGTGAAATATCATGTCACGAAATCTTCCTATTCGCGTTACAATCAGTCTAGTATTTCGTTACATTGTGTGACAATTTATAACATTAATCATTAATTATAAAGAAATCGTTCTCGACAATTTTTTTAAAAATGGTGGCGCCGTGAAGTCGAAAAAAGAGTACTCGATATACCTACTTTTAGAGAGTTTTTCGGCTGCTAGATTGGTTAAAATTTAGTTCAGTGGTATTATGTCATTTGACTATCAAATTTTTAAGTTTGTGGAGACTTAAAAAGCCATGGCTTACTTCACTGTGGAAGTTTTTTCTTCGGGTCATTTCACAGTGAGTGAAAATTTCTCGAGACGAAGATTGAGATCTGAAAAAGAAGGCTTGGAAGGTTTTAGGTACGGAGCGTTATCTCCACATTTATCCTACAAGCATAAAAAGGATACTTTTCCGTGACTCTTTTCCGTGACTCTTTTCCGTGACTCTTTTCCGTGACTCTTTTCCGTGACTCTTTTCCGTGACTCTTTTCCGTGACTCTTTTCCGTGACTCTTTTCCGTGACTCTTTTCCGTGACTCTTTTCCGTGACTCTTTTCCGTGACTCTTTTCCGTTCTTTTGTCTGATCAAAATCGATGGCTGATGTTTTAAATGCAATTTTTTATATCTTCGAGAGGAATTAGAAGGAGCTGTCAAATTTAAAATGAAATTAATAAATAATTTAAAATTAGACGTACACAAGAATTAAATACCAAGAAAACAAATAATGGTTCAAATATTTAACAATGAAGATATAATGTTTCTAATATTCAAATCAGCTTTCTTTCCTATTAATCAAACAAGACTACTTTCGAAGGTTTCTCTAATGTACTTGCAGATTTCGAAAATATTTTTACAGCGAAGAAAGAGGAATTATCATCGATAAATTATATATAAAGACTATATTCTTATTGGTGTTTAACGATGGCTGTAAACGAAAGAAAGAATCTTACTTTGGATAAAATCATATTTTCTGTTTCGCTCTGAGCTCTGCAGCGGCACGATGTTTAAGTAAATTATACGTTATACATATATTTTTATTTTAGTCCACCCAGAATAGAAAACCACGAGAAACTCTTATCTTTCATGTCTCAGCCATGCCATACAAAAAAAGCAAAAGCCAATCTGACCTTTCCTTCTACTAATCATGGCGGTTGGTTTAGCGAGGCTGTTCCTCAGAAAAAAAGGTCAACCTTCCTCTTTAAACTAATTGTCTCTCTTGATATCCAAAATAACGTAAAAATTTCCATGTCATCAGTATAATGGTACCAAAATTAAAATAAAAAAAACTGCCATTTAAGTTAAATGTTTATCACCGGGTTTATTAGCCAATGGACAGACAATTTCCTCCAATCAACCAGCAGATGACGTACATGAAACTTTCCATCGTCAATAAAACAAATGTTTTCTTTTGTTATGTTTATTCTGTACTCCTTTGCATCTAAATTAAATTTTTATCGGATATTTCAAAATTTTTCATCACAGGAGTTTTTTTTCGTCACTGTCGAATTTCGAAGTTTCCAACTTTAACCTGATATCGCAAGTTCAAAATCCTGTATGGCGTACGCTGCATTACGAAATATTCGTTTCTCTCGAGAATCCGCCGATACAAAAAGAGAAATTAGCTTTCCAATTATTTACCTTGGAAGCGTTCAAGTATTGTGTCCTGTTGGTAACGGAATATGCGGGTCCGTGGAGGAAATCTTTGACAATTCTCGGTTAAAACTGAAACATAATTTGCTTCCGAAACAAATTCTTCGAGTAAAAGACAATTTATTTGAGCTTTACAGGGCTGATGAAGAAGAGCATGCGACTAGAACTGTTTACAACTTTAACAAAATAATCTACTGCGGGGTTGACAGCAAAAGGAGGAAAGTATTGGTGTTCAATTATCATCATTTGGAAGGACGCGAAGGAGATTTTTATCTAACGCACGCCTTTTGGTGCGAGAAGAAAAGTGTGGCGAAACAGCTGGCTTTCACAGTCGGGGAATACTTTCAAAAAATGAATTGTGTCTGTGTACAGGATGCTGATGAAATGGGAAACGAAGAATCCCCATTAACAACGAAGTTAAAACCTTCGAGAAGGGAAAAGTATCGCAAAATCCCAAGAAAGCGCTCTTTGAATAAAAACTTAGAATTAAACGAAATTTAAGGCCAGCTGAACACGATCGCAAATGAATCTACATACGATGTACTCAAATGTGAATAAATGTGAAGAAAGATATGCTCGCTGATTTGTTCATTGTTTGTTTTTTTTTTTAACACCGGAACACGCAAAGAGAAAATTGTAAGTCAACCGGCTAAGGCATAGCTGTTGCTGTAAGTGCGCACCCGAATGCATTTAAGTTTTAATCATATTTTTTTTTCTATATGCAATTCAAACCGTTCATTTTGTGAATCATGTGCTAACTATTTATTGCAGGGGGTATTCATTTATTAATATGACTTGTTATCCATTCTGCTTATGTAAATTTTTATCCCAATGTTCACAGTCTAAATACGCTGAGTATCAAAACCGGCCAACTATTCTAAATTTCTTAATAAAGGAATAGATCAGGATTCAAGCAATAACCGATTCCTGTCCAATGACAATAGGGAGGAAAAAAAAAGTCGCGGACACGTTTTTAAATTTTCTGAGCGTAAACTACTTCCGAATTATTGAGAAAAGAGCGAAAAGTTACACGACATGCGGTTTGTAATACAACTAACGTGTTAAAATACACCTGTTCTACTTCCAACCTTTCAGAGGACGGCGTTGATCACTCGAAAGCATAATATGCTAGGTTTGGCATGTTAGAACACAAAATAAGCTGAGCTTAATCAGATATGAAGTTTCGTTGATATGTTCGACATAATTTCTACATGTAAAATCGCCCGCTTATCGAAAAAAATATATAACCATTCTGAGTAAACCGTGGGTACTATCAAAGCCTTACGACCTGGCTTTATATGGAAAATAATATCAAAAAATTCAAATCAATAAATTTTAAATTATTACTCTGATCATCAGGGGAGTAACATAACGATGCTTGACCCCTGCGTTTGATTTGAGTAGGCTGGATTGTACAGGGCGTGAAATTAATCTTTTTTTCTGATAGCCACTTGGCTATTCTTCAAAGTGGTAGCCAATTCAAAAAAAGTTGGTCGCCATTTTTAAAGACAAACAAAACGTTTTTTCCACGCTGTCAGCGTTCCAGACAGACCCTCCAAAATTAAGTTAGGAAAAAGATCTTTAACGTGCTACAAAGTGGACACTAAGATGGATGATATTCAACCTTCAAGCTCACCTAAATCTTAGATGGCGTGTAGTTATCGATCAAGATGCATGTGCTGCGTTTTGGAAACGAACTTATCGAGGACGTTTGCCGCGGATTTATCTTTCCAAATCTTTCTAATTCACTATATCTCTAGGTATGGTTATGATGAAGCATTCTAGTCGCCAATTTGGCGACTAATTTTCAGGATTTGGTCGCCAAAGTGAAAAATTTAGTCACATTGGTGCCTGTAGTAGACGCAATTTCACGCGCTGTTGAACGTAAAATATTATGACAATAAATCTTGTTAGCCTGAGGGCTCTAAAAGAAAATCGTTCTACAGGAACAAGGCAAACCAAAAAGCGCTGAATGAGAACTTTAAGATTTTCAAAGTTCGAAATATACAAAACAAAGCCTTTTGGTGATGAATATCTTACAATAAAAATATTTTGAAAGTTTGATAATTTATAATCTGTAGTGTCGTAGAGGACTGCTTGGTACTCGTTCAGCTCAGTGTATGATTTACTCGCTGTGGCAGTTCATTGAAATGTGGCCTATATGCCGGATCTTTCTAGTGGGTGAATCACTTAATAAAGCCCGACTGGACCTGGCAAATCTCCAACTCTTTGCCGTACAGATGTCTGACACAAGGAAAATATTATTTTGTCTTTAAAATTGCATTTCTTTAAAAATCAATTAAAATGTATAATTACTTATTTCTCAAACTGTCCTTCACGGGTCTGCTACGAACTTGCATACTGATCAGCTTCAGTGGCTGACTTGAAACCTCAGTGGCTATTGCAAGATTATTGTGAGTTTTTCAGGCTTCTTTGTAACAACTACTTTTTTTGTAGTTCGTAACTTGAGTCATCTTTCTTCCTTTGTATTTTTTCTCACTTTTCTAATCTATAAATAATGTTTTTTTCCTATGCACTCTCGGTCTTTTTTTCCAGAATTAGTCTAATAATATTCTCTTTGATACCTGGAATCGGCGCAAGAACGATTTCTTAACTTGAACGAAGCAAACTTCGTAGTGATAAATTTGTTGTTCGTTCCACTTTAAAGGCCTTTTTGTGTACCTAAGAACTCCTAATTATGTTTTGCACAATGAACCAAATCAAATTATATGCAAGCGTCGACATATTTCATTCTGCAAAGACCACAAAAAATACCTCTGTGTAAATATATAGAAATTTACTGATTAAAACTTACGATTAAAATAACAACAACGATGAAAGTTGCAGGGAATATAGGTCTTGCATTGATCCGTAATAGTGCAGTACTGACTGACGCTTATCCCTTGAAGCTGGTTTTTATCAATAATTCAGAAAAAGTAAAGATATAATACCAAAATATTTGATGGGCACAAGGATAAATAAAGATTTTCAACATATGGCTTAAGGTCTTATGTCCTACGAACTTAACTAAATTCAGTTCTTACGGCAATCTTCTTGCGAGCCGAGTCGCACAATAGTTTGCTAACTTTATTTCGGTCTGCTTGCTGCCTTTTCAGTATTTTACAAATCAAAACACTCTAGTTTATCATGTATGGAAAATACAATGAAATGATTTATATTAAAAGATAAACTATATGACAAAGGCGAGGTTATTTAATGTTCACCGTCTTTATCGTTACCACAGTTTCATTGTCGACCGTTCTTTGTGATCTGCTGAAGTTCAAATCATTTTTTTTTTTACCAAATTACGTCCTATGGGCTGTTCGACATCGCGCAGATAGGCTATGTTCACCGTTTGGCGTTCTTTTTTTCTGTCTTTTTTCTCTTGCTTTTTCATTCATGGCTGTTAAATCACGACCCAAAAAGAATATTTAACAATGTTAAACTGATTTTCATCCGTCTCAAACTGGCATCCTGTCAAACTAAGACATATTTAGTTCTAAAAGGGCCGAACACAACAAAAAGATTTCTCCTCCGTTTTTCTGAAGCTACTCGACTTTGTGCTTTTCAATACATATATTCATCGCTCAATTTCACACATAATTAAGTTAAAACTCGGAAAAAATTGTGATTGAAGACAGGAATATTCCGTTGGCCGCATCCCGTCACGGTTTTCATTTTTTAATATGCCGTGTACTCAACATTCTAACTGTCAAAGAGCGTGGAAGACAAAATGACATTGTCCTTTTTCATAATTCCCTTCTCTTCCGTTGTAGGATGGAAATTATCAGTCGTAATTAAATTTTTATATAGAATTTCATCTATCTCAATAACTCCCACTTCGAATTTTCCTGTTTAGGCTTGGGCGGGACTACCCACTGTGTGGTAATCACTCATATGCTAGTCATTAACTTTTAGGACAAAAGCAAGCTCGGACTTATCATGGGTGTTTATAATCAAATTCAGAGAGTAACTATTGAGCTGGAGAAAAAGTGCCTTATTGAGAAACGCCACGTGGACATCGTGTACTGTAAATTTTCTAAGAAATGAAAACAGAAAAGATCGAGTTCCTCTTTCATTGATGAGGGCGGAATTTCCTTTCCGCAACGTTCAGTCAGTCGTGAAACTAGAGATAACTGACAAACAGGACAAAGGGTAAATTCGAGACAAGCATTCTCACGGAAGCTTCGGGAAAAAAGGCGATTGTTTGACAAAAAAAACCGAGCAAGCATATTAAAAACCAATCTAACTTTGAGCTATGAAATTCAGCCCGTATATATAGTCCCCATTCTTGGGAAGATTCGCCGTGGATAGCACTCATAGATAGGTTATTGATATATCATTAGTCATGAAATACTTAGTGTGGCTTACATGTTTTATTTTGACTTTTGGATTTTCCCAACAAAACGATGAACAACCGCCTTACATTCCACCCATCGAGTTTGGTAGAAAGAGAGAGGCCGATGTTCAACTAGAAATGGTAAATAGAACGATTAGAATTAATACGAGTTGTTTGTAGCAAGATTCACTCGAACGCGTATAAAACAGTACTCAACCGAACATTATTTCGCGATCTAGGTCGATTGGCTAACAATGGCAAAGACGTCCTGATACGTTACAAAAAGTATAAGCTTCCTCTTTGCAATATTTTGTCGTAACGTAGCAAGGGAGCACCTAGAGTTATTTTCAGACTTACACAGAATCCTCCAAATTTAAACTGCCTTCTTTCACATTGCAGGTCTGAGGAAACGTTTCTAGTCTTAACATCGAATATGCCTTCAATCGTGCTCTTCTTTTTTTTTATTCGGAGTCTATAGTACTGTGCTTTCTTCAACATAAATTCTTTTACTCTCTCGTTTTTGTTAAATGTAACAAATCAATTCTAGGTTCTTACTGCCTCCCTTTTCGACGGATATTTTATTTCAATCACATGGGCTCGCCCGTGTATACATGCCTGTTGCTTGCCTCGCGCTAGTTAAAATGCTAAATTAATTTTTCAATACTATGAAATCAGTTTTTAAATTATCTGGTTTATTTTTGTGATTGCGAAATTAAGTTTTAATTTTTTAGTGTTTTTTTTCCCGGTCCTCATATTTCACAATATAGTGCGATCCAAACAACTGAATTGTCATATTATATATGAAAAACCGAGACAAAATAATAATAATTATAATACAAAACACCTTTTGGTAAAAAGTTTACTGTTGTTATCTTTTTTACTGGCTTTCAGCATGATTATCTTCAACCTCCTCCATACATTCCACCGATCGAATTTGGGAGAGAAGTAGAGGACGGCGACCTTATAATGGTAGAGTGTCTATATATATTCATTTACTTGTAAAAGGATTACTGCATTAATTTGTAACGGTAATTATCATCCAAACTGCCCTTCACTCATGGAAGTAACGTTTTCAGAGGGTCTCCCTCAGCCTGAAAACGGCTAAAAAAGTTATGGTGAAAATTAACAAATTTATATCGTCAGTCGCATAAAAAGAGCCAACCGTAAAATTTTA